AGAGGAAAGCTATTGATTTTTGTGTGTTGACCTTGTAACCAGCTACTTGACTGAATTTGGTTATTAAGTCTAGAAGACTTTTGGTGGAGTTCTTGAGGTCGAGACCTAATTTCTTTCTGAAGTCCTCTTAATCCTTCTCTCTGAAAGTACCTACTCATCAGAAGTTTCTCTGACCATCTACTGTGCCAATCATGGTTGACAGGAACAGGGACTATAACAAAAAATGTGCAAATTACATTACTGTTCCTATTTGCTGTTCTCAGACCCTATTAGAGGATTATATATTCCCTTTAACTACTTTACTCTCCACAGTAACAGGCTTGGCCAAGTCACTTGCTTTGGCCAATGAAATATGAGCAAAAGTGACATATGTGTCTTCTGAGCAGACACTGTATGGTACACTGGGTGCTTCTCTTTTGTTCTCTTGTACTCTTCCCTCTCCTATGAGATCGCACGGTCCAAACAGAACTCGCTACTTCAGCAGAGACCCTAAAAGGAACTGGATAACGGGGTATAATGATAGCTGATAGAGTTACCAGAGTCAAAATATAAGATGGATGAGAAAAGTCCATTGCTGTTATGTGTTACTGAGATTTTTAGGTTATTATCCAGTATAACTTAGAGAAAACTGACTAATACAATAAAGCAAAAAAGACTGAATTACTATGTTTGAGGAGATTACAATCTAGTGGAATGCTTTTTACATATATCATCTATATTATTCAAACTGTAATCTCCTGTTAATAATCTGTTTTCTAGTAGTTTTCTAGATGGAGGTATGGCCATGAACATAAGATCAGGGCAAGCATTACATCTTTTACTTTGGTGAATGTTTGTGCATGCATAGGGCACTCAGTAAATATGTAGGGTGTGATTTCTAGAAGCCATGCTATTTTCCCTACTCTACTTTTATTCTTGGTATGATCAAGAAAACCCAACAAGATAAATCAAGAGTTGAAAATAAAAAGTTAAACACTGGTGTTTGGTAAGTACCCATCAAAAATGGTGATTTTCTTAAGTGAATATTTTGGGCATAAGAAAAATATGTAGTTATTACATTAAAAAAAGCATGAACTATTTGAAAATCATTAGGAAGTTTATGGAAGTTGCCTGTTAGTAATTTTATAATGGAATATCAGTACACAAAGGAAATAAGCAATATGACTTTTAAAAGAGCATTATCTAGGGGCCGGGGATTTAGCTCAGTGGTTTCACTGCCTGCTGCGCAAGTGCAAGGACCCGAGTTCAATCCCCGGTACCAAAAAAAAAAAAAAAAAAAGAGCATTATCCATGTTCTTTCATGCCTAATGATTTAACAAGGTCTAAAAACTCATTTGTAGACTAAATCTCACAGTTCTCAAATATTATACTTTCAGGCATTTACAAATGGAAACTCCAATATTCAGAGAAATGATATTGAAGGGACTAAAGATGTTAGTTTGAACAAAATGCTTTTAAAGCTTTTATATTTAAAATCACTTCCTTATTAAATGATTTTAGTAATTACCGGTCTCTTCTTGTACAAAAGATATGAAAGATGCAAAATGTTGACACCCAAGAACACAGAGTTCCAGATCATTACATCCAAGGCACATCGGTAGAGAGTGGCCCACACAATATAGAGGGTACATCCTGTTGGATAACAAAGTTAACAGTCAGATATGTAAAACAACTTTAGCAGGTAGCTTAATAAATTTCTCATCCTCTGTATACAAGTCAAATGTATTTTACAAATACCTAAGTCGAATATCACAGTTTCATTTTGTTTTTTTGAGTTAAAAAAACCACATTCTTTGATGCAAAACATTTGTATAATATAGAATTTTTTTTAAAGCAGAGCTGGAGATTGAACCCAGGCCCCACATGTGTTAGGGAAGCAGTCTACCACTGAGCTGTACCCCCAGCACAAAGAAAATCGTTTTTAAAGAAAAGGAATAATCTATACTTCTATAACTTAAAGAAAACCCCAGTTGATATTTAATGCTATGTTACAGTTATGTAGTTTTACCAAATGGAAACCCTACTGTATACATAATTTTTAAACATTTTAAATTACAATTTTCCCATTTCATTAAAACTCTTTGTAAGCATAGTTTTTCATGACTATAACTCATTAAATCATAATCTTTAACTCTCTCCCTATTGGATACAGATGATATTTTGAGGGTATACTTTTTGGTAAGAAAAAGCAACTTTATACATAAAAACATCTGTATTTCTTTGCTTAGGCTGGATTACCTGAAGGTGAACTTCATAACTTTGGATGATATGAAGAATTGTTTTCCAAAAGGTCTGTACAAATTTATAAACCTACTATTTCAGAATGCCAGTAGCAGGGTGTTGAAATAAAATTTAAAAATTCATTTGATAATAAAGACTTATATTTTGTATTTTCATTAATACTAGTGAGTCCAAATGTTATGCCAAAACTTTATTTTTTATTTTTTTGGTACCGGGGATCAAACTCGGGACCTTGTGCTTGCGAGGCAGGTGGCGGAACCACTGAGCTAAATCCCTGGCCTTTGACAAAACTTTTTAACCACCTGAATTTTCACTTAGATCCATTACGGGAATCTTCCTGTTTCTTCTCTCATTTTATATACAATATCCCCAGTTTCTTTTGATCAATTTTAGGGTAGGAGAGTTAATATATTTTTAAGATGAAATTATCAACTAAGATACAAATATATCAACACACATGGACACAAAAGCTAACCACTGACCATTAAAGTTATTCATCTGCCATTTTTTACCTCATCAGAATTATTTGGGAGCATCTAAATAAAGCTTATCCCTTTACTTGACCTCACTTTCCTCACTTATAGTCTAAAACACTAGACTAGATTATCTCTTTGGTCGGTTTTATCTCCAAAACTGTTTTAAAATTCAAATTTGGACTTTTTTTAAAGGTTTCAATTATACTTTTCTTCAACACACTATATTTTAATGTATACAGTGCTTTTACTTGGCATGAATTATGATTTGATTTTGAAACAATTTAGTAGTATTATATCAGCTGCCATGATTACTGATCTCTCCATTCCTTTGGGGTGACTCTGCCAACAGGGGAAAGGTTCCATTCTGTTCCAATTTTTGTTGCTGTATACAGTATGTCCATACAGCAATATAGAATGTGGCTCTACCAACTAATACAGTATTACCATATTGGTCATGGAAATCAGGTGTACATTTCTGGTGACTCTGCCTTACCACCATTTGCTGAATGCTTCAAACTGGAAGATTACCTAATGTGTTTTTGGCCAAGGCAAACATCATGGATCTGAAGATGGAATTGCGGTTATTGCTGCTGGTTTGATTCAAATTACCTCCAGATACCCCTGCTTGGATATATATATATATTGGCCTTATTCTTTTTTAGTGTAATACCCTACTCTCCTCCTGCTGCAATTCCCACCTAACTCACACAGCCATAAAACTCTCACAAACTGCCTGCTAGCTAGCCTTCCAGCCTCTTCTTGTATTTTTCATATATCTGAGTTTCAAAGAGCTACTCTTCATTCCCCCCAATATACTGGTAAGTTTCCCTTTCTTCTGTGCCTTTTGCCAGAGTAATGCTCATATTCAGAAAAATCCTGCTCATCTTCCAAAAGTTGGCTGCATTGGTTTGTCCTCAGAGGGCCTGGGTCACTTTCTTGCTGAGACAGTCACCTTCTCCTTTCCCCTGGGCACGGATGCACACCTGTGTCATAGCATCCAATTCCTCACACTGTAACTGCCCATCTGTCTCTCTGGGGATAGAGACTTGTCTTCTTTAATCTTTGTCTGATACATTACAGGTGCTCAAAAACACACCTGAATAAATGGATTATCAGGAAAATTAACAGAAAGAGTAATCTGTCAAGAATCACTGGCTAAAGTAATCAATTAAATCGTTGGGGTTTTTTTGGTACTGGGGACCAAACTTGAGTCCTTGAGCTTACGCAGCAGGTGGCGAAACCACTGAGCTAAATCCCCGGCCCTATTAAATTATTTTAATATTTTGACATGAATCAATTTAACTTATGTCATCAAGGTTAAAGAACCAAAAATATTTTTTCTTTAACTACTGTGTACGGGTAATTACTTCTGTTCAATGTTGCTTTACTAGCCACAGCAATTGTGTGTCTTCAATAATAACAGTTTGAGACTGTATAGTACTTACTATGTGACAGAAGATACTTATTTAATTCTCACAACCCTATGAGGTGGTTTTATTATGATTCCATTTGATACATCAGGAAATTGAGGTGCTAAAAAGATTAAATCACTTGTCCAAGTTATACAGTTTGCAAGTGGTAAAACCAGGATGCAAATCATACAATCTGGTTCCAAAGTACATGAATGGATTTTCTGCTATCTGGAAAATCTAAAAATATATAAAAGCATGCATAGTTTTTCTCAAAAGTAAGGGATAGATATGTTATGCAAAGGCCTTGTTTCAAAATACTTGATATGCTGCTAATTCAATAACAAAGACTGAAACTCTTTGGTATGCTATAGACCTCACAAGGATTACTATGAAGTCCTCAACACAAAGCCCATCTGACGCTGTTTATGATGAAGTTATACCCAATCTTAGTTAGGTATCTTACCTATAGTAAACATCCCTCTAAGAAATATCATATGAAGGTGAAGAGTAGTTGGAATAACCAAACCAACTGCAAAACAAATATTTGCTACATGAAAAACTAGATGATGTATCTCTCGCCAGTTTTCACAAGTGGTCTCATTGGAAGGCACAGGTATGGTACTTCCTAACTCAGGTGTAAAATCTACTGTAGTTGATTCTGGCAATGAGCTGGTCTCCGTATAATTCATGTTGAAAATGCCTGTAAAGCAAATAAAATCATAAAAATATATTTTATTATCCCTATTACAAGTGTTATAAGAAAATGATTTCTGGGGCCAGGGGTTTAGCTCAGTGGCGCTGCACCTGCCTCACAAGCACAAGGTCCTGAGTTCGATCCCCAGCACCAGAAAAAAAAAGAAAATGATTTCTGTGAATTGAATGTTGGTAAACAGACTTCTCTAGTGCTTATGAATTAGGACATATATGTGACATTTTCTTATCTATTAAATCATAATGTCTTATGTGCCTTATGATGAAATGAAATATATAAAATATTTTACAGAGTGCACAACTATTCCCTGGCATACAAATATACATACATATATGCATATAGATACATATACATGTATACATGTGTTTATGTATATGTATATAGTATATAATATACCTATTCATATTTCATGGGGAAGAAAGGAATTAACTAACCTAAAAGACAATCACCAATGTTCATAAACAACAGCAATTACAAAGTTTTTTAGTATAACCTCCATTATATTCTCATTGGTGACCCTAAATCCAAGCACAGGACAAATAAACTGATTTTTTAATACTTTCAAAAAATTAACAGCCTTATATGTGAAGGCTTAAGATATTTAGATGGCTTTATTTTATACCATCATTTAAATCACTGTATCATGCATATATCATAAATTATCATATATGTACATAATATACAACCATAAAAATTACCATAAACACATATACATAAAACAACATTTAACATTTTTGTCCAGCTGGACTCTACTTTTTTCCCCATAATAATTCTAGTTGGTAGCATTTCACAAATTAAAAAGTAGGGCCGGGGATCCCAGGCTCCTAGGGCCAAGAAGGTGAGCTGGTCCCAGCACCCAGAAGGAAGCTCCCCCACCACCATCCCAAGCTTCTAGGGCAGAGAAGCTGACCCGGTCCCAGCACCCAGAAGGAAGCTCCGCCGCTGCCATCCCAAGCTCCTAGGGCACAGAAGGTGAGCCACGTGGGCGCCAGAAGCACCCCCCCCCCCATGGAAATGAGAAGACAAATAAACA